ACAGCAGCAGCTAGGTCGATAGGGGTATAGGTTATTTACGTTTTTTTTTGCAACACAAAAAGGAGTAAACACTGCCTATACACCAGAGAAATAAAAAATATCTTGGATTTAGGGTTTAGGGTTTAGGGTTTAGTGTTTAGGGTTTTAGGGGTTTAGGGTTTAATATGTAAAGCATAAAGATAAACCCTAAACCCTAAATGGTGGTTTCTTGTTATTGGTGGTTGGTGGTGTTTGTCTGTCCGCCACACTCATTATTGCCTAGCTAGGGTTTAGGGTTTAGGGTTTAGGGTTTAGGGTTTAGGGTTTAGGGTTTAGGGTTAAGAAATTGAATAATTGTTAGATGATTTATTTAGATAAAATAAAAAAAAAATAAAATAAATTAAACCCTATTAGGGTTTCAACATAAAGTTGTCTGCTGCAGCATCGAGGCAGCAGCAGCAGCAGCAGCAGCAGCAGCAGCAACAGGAACAGCAGCAGAAGGAGGAGCAGCACAACATAGTAGTGTTAATGTACACACGAAAGTAGTTATAGACAGCAGCAGCAAAGAAGAAACCCCACAATTAAATTATAATTTAATTAATTAATTTATTTATTTTTTTATTTTTTCTTTTATTTATTTCTTTATCTATAAGAGTTGCTGCTGCTGCCCTAGTAAGTCTCGAGTCTGCTGCTGCTGCTGCTGCTGCTGGTTGCAACACGGGCCCCTAGTAGCAGCAGCAGCAGCGGCGGCGGCAGCAGCGGCAGCAGCAGCAGCAGCAGCAACTGCATCAGCAACTGCAGCAACAACTGCAGCAGCAATAACAGCAGCAACTGCAACAAATACTTCAACAGCTACTGCAGCAGCAGCAGCAGCAGCAGCAGCATCGACTACTGAAGGATCGCCAGGAGCCCAGGCAGACCCCGGCAAGGCAGCAGCAGCAGCAGGAGCAGCAGCAGCAGCAACTGCAGCAACAGCAACAGCAGCAACTTAGCAGCAACAGCAGCAATTATAACTTAACAGCAGCAGCAAAATCTCAACTGCAGCAACTGCAGCAGAGCTAGTATTAAGACTCAAGACACTGCATGCAGCAGCAAACCCTAAACCCTAAACCCTAAACCCTCAACCCTAAACCCTAAACACTGCCGCAAATGTCTGCAACAACTGCAGCAGCAGCAACAGCAGCAGCAGCAACAAATGCTGCTGCTGCTGCAGGTAAAGATGACATCATAATAAACCTTCACCTGCTGCGTCATGCAGGTAAGAGACACTCGTGCTGCTGCTGCTGCTGCTGCTGCTGCTGCTGCTATTTGCTGCTGCTGTCTCCTGCGGCTGTCCCCTCCTCCTGCTGCTGCTGCTGCTGCTGCTGTTCTCCCCATTATCTTGCTGCTGCTGTCTAGTCCCTGCTACTACTGCTACTACTACTACTGCTGCTGCTCCTGCTGCTGCTGCTCTTTTTGTGTTGCAGAAGGGACACATAATGTTGGGGCTCGAGACAGGTAAACCCTAAACCCTCATAAACCCTAAACCCTAAACCCTAATAAACCCTAAACCCTAGTACAATAAATCCTAAACCCTAATACAATAAACCCTAAACCCTAATAAACCCTAAACCCTAATAAACCCTAAACCCTAATAAACCCTAAACCCTAAACCCTATATATAAAAGAGTACTGCATCCATTGCATTCTGTTGCTCATGCTGCTGTTGCTTATGCTGCTTGTGCTGCTGCTGCTGCTGCTGCTGCTGCTGCTGCTGCTGCAGGCCTGAAGGACGTAGCTGCTATTGGGTGTATTCGCAGCAAGAACACTTTGATGCTGATTTATCATCAACAGGTTTGCTGCAGGCAAGAGCAGCAGGAGCAGCAATGCCTAAGGCTCTGCTGCATGCACTGCAGCAGCAGCAGCAGCAGCAGCAGCAAGGATATTGTTGCTGCTTCCCTACTGCTGTTGTTTATACTAGTACACTAAGGAGAACTATACGTACAGCATACGAGGCTCTACGTGCAGC